CATGTGTGGTGGTGGGGTGGTGGGGTGTGTGTGTGTGTGTGTGTATGTGTACATGTGTGGCGATGGTGTGGTGTACTTTCTCTTTGTACCGAAACTCTCCCTCACAGCCGCATGACGGATGATGATTGCTTTTTGTGGTGCCTACTACATTGCTCTCCACTCAATGTATATTGTTACCCGACTTCCATTCCAACCCTGGGGGAATCTGGATTCACAGAGGAATAGAGCCTTCTTATAAAATCTGGAGTATGATCGCAATTTTACTTTTGAAGCACTGGCTTCCCAGAGGAATAGCCAGTGATTGATGCCACTGTGAGAAACCCAGATGCACACACTCATACATCAGCCGGGAAATGACACAAAGAGCTCACCAATCAGCCAGGCCTGACTCACCCACTTGCTCCCCGCTGGGAAGAGAGCTCACAGGAAACGCAGTGCAACAGCAGGGAGCAGGCAAGAAAAGGAGTGTGTTGGTGGGGCGGCGCGCCTTCTCTTTGTGCTGAGACTTTGGAGGAGGATGGGGCTCTCCATCAAGGACCACCAGGCTTTGGTCCTTGCTCATCTCTGAGGGCAGCAGCCACAGGCTACGGCCCGTAGTGACACTGCGGTGTGACCGGGACCTGGGCAGTTATTGCATTTGTCCGGGGAGTGTGCTTCCGCTGGGTTTCATGGTACACATACAAGGATACAAACAGCTCTACACACACAACTTCAACCTGATAAAGGTACACGTGATGTCCACACTTCCCTCTGGGGTGGATGTGACCTACCTAGGCTAAGCTCGTGCTACCTTGAGAGAGCAAGTCTACGTCGATTCCAGCAGGATGGGGCGGCAGGGACTGGTTTGTTGCTAAGAAGATGTCTGAAAGTAAGGATACTATTGGGGCGGAAAGGTGGAAAGCAGTCCAGTAGGCCTGCTGGCATTTCATGAATGTGAGGGTGGCTTATCGGTAGCGGCAGGCCAAAGCGTTGACATTCTTTACCACATAAAAGCCCATGGTAACTGGAGGGATGACCAATGTCCGGCCAGCCCGTAGGGGGCGGGGCTTCAACTCTGGGAGGGTCCCATCGTCCACCATCACTAAGGGCTGCCCGTTCAGCTGCACTGACCTGTGGAGAAGAGAAACAGCACGGAACTCAATAATGCATTATAAGGGGGCCATCGCCACGAAGCCTGGGCAGCCCCAGGCTGCTGCCTGTCTGTCTGATATCACTTACTGACACTTGCTGTGCCCAGGCTTTCACCTAGCAGCTTTATTTTATTAATACATTCAAACATCTCAGCAACACTCTGAGAAAGAAACTCAGTATTCCCTTTCTACCTGCAGTGGTTAAGTGACTTGCCCAAGATCATACAACTTGTAGGTCTGGGAGCCAGGATTTGAATACAAGATAACTAGTAGTTCCACAGACACATCATTTAGACCAGAGATTTGAACCAGCGGTCGCCAACCTTTTGGACCTCAGGGACCACCAGTGGTTCATGGACCACCGTTTGGTGACTGCTGATTTAAACAAGTGACAAGTCTCTGAGATGCAGAAGTTGAAAAGTGTCTTTCTATCAATCAAATATATCTATATCTATCTATATATATGGAGAGAGAGAGAGAGAGAGAGAGAGCGAGCAATGTGAGAGAGACACATCTACTAGGGATCGAACCTGAAATATGTGCCCTGACCAGGAATTGAACCGGCAACCTTTCAGTGCACAAGATGATGTTCAACCAACTGAGCAACACTGGCCAGGGCTCATGCTTATATTTTTAAAAATCATAATAGCACTTTAGTTAGACCTGTGGACTGATGCACAGGCTTACAATGATTTCAGAAATCTTCTGTTTAACTAGAATTTTTCATTAATTTGATAGCTTAGAGAACTGACATCATATTACTTGTATAGGGTTCTGAAGAAGGGCAGAGACATAGCTAACAATTCCCCTTTTTCTAATTTAAGAATGAGTTTTCATATCTAACATTTAACAGGTGTTTTCATTTTTAGCAATACAATGAAGTATAAGGTGACAAAAGTAGGCATTTGTGATTACAATTCACCTATCTTGCCTGCCTTAATTCTTCCTGTGTAGCAGCCATCTTCACGCTGAGAGGGGGCCACATGCGTAGTGCACTTAGAGAGAAAAGGAGAACAGATCACCCATCCTTGGCCTGCAGTACAAAATCCAGACAACTTCCCAGCTGTTCCTGACTGGGGAGCAACTTGCACAGTCACATACCCAGAATGAAGCTCAGCTTTATGGGTCAGTAGAAAAGGCCAGAACCAGGGCATGAGCTGCAAATAAGGCTGTGAGTTACCCTCAGAAAACTAACATTGCTTAGTGATGACTGTTTCTGGGCCTTGTCTAACCTTCACTGTGATAACATTGCAGTGATATCATCTGAGCAGTAAAGAGAATAAAGTGTTAGAAATTGATACAAAGTTCTTTGTTTAGTGTTCCTTCTGTGCTGTGAATGATAGACAGGTTTAGAGAGAGATAATCAGACCCTTGCCCAATGGAGCAGTGAATTCCTGAGATAAGTGTGTTGTGAATTGCTCCCCATGGAGGAGAGTGAGGCAGAGAGGCAGCTCGAGGCTGGCCCTGCATGAGTAAGTTTGGGCCCAGTCCAGCTCTGACAGGTCAGAGGTTGCAGCCCCCCTCTTCTGGTGGGGATGGCTAAGGAATGAATGAGCAGGGAGGAGACTCTTATATAGAGTCAGGCCTGCCTCTGGAAGGTGTGCGGGTGGGAACATCGAGGTCTGAAGATGGGAGTTGACCTCGTCAAATATGCAAGGAGCTTTTGCTCCAAATTTGAGTGGTTCTCTCTGGTGAAGACAGTCTACTCACTGGTGTGGGAGGCAAGGTGAAGAGAGGCATTTCTGTTGCAAATAAAACAAAACAAAACAAAAACCCAGGTCTTAACAGTGTATTTTTATTATATTGTTTCAGGTGGTGTGCACTGTCAAACACAAGTTCATTAATACTAATTAAACTTTCCAAAGCATACTCAAATGTATATCACTCCTCTACGTGAAAACCTTCAATGTCCCTCTTATACACAGAATTAGGTGCAAGCTCTCCCCTTGACAAATTGGCTATTGCCCTTTTAGATTCAGGTGACCCCAGAGCACTGACATCTTTGGCTTCTAGGCAACACAAAACCAAGTATGATAGGCAAGCCTGTTAATTTCTATACTAATAACGAGTAGTTATTCTGGAAAAGGCCCCATTCTGACTTCCTTATTGGTTGGTTAGAAAGCTAACTCAGAGTGGGTGGAATCAGGGAGCATGGTCAAGATCTGGACTATCTCTAAATTCAGGAGCCCGACTGCTGACTTGCAAGATGCTATGGCAAATCTCTTAACCTCACTTCCTGCACTTTCTGCATCTGTCAGAATGCTATATAGGGTGTAGTGCAATGAAATAAAAATATGAAAGACCGTTGCAAGTATAATGAGCCATATAAGCAGGGAATGGTGTTTTTGTCAATCTTTTCATTGCCGTTATGAGTAGATTAACTTTTTGGTCCTAACACTTGAGTGCTCGGTGGCACTGACTAGTTTTCATGGCTCCCTGCTTAAAGCCTCTCTTCCCTTGGCTCCCATGTTCATTCTCTCTGTCTCTGCCTCTCTCTTGGGTTTCCCCCTTTGTTTCTTTTCCAGCGGGACTGTTCTCTTCTACCTGCTTCTCAGATGTTGGGGTTTCCGGTCTTTGTCCTTGGACCGCTTCTTTTCCCATACTATGTACTCCCCCTGAGTGCTATCACCCACACCCAGCACTTTGATTATTACCCATATGTCCATGCTTCCCAAGCCTGCAGCTCTAGCCTAGATCCTTCCAACTTATGTATCTCCACCTAACTGTCCCACAGGAAGTTCAAAGTCACTATGTCTAAAGTAAATATCTTCTACTCAAACCCTGTCCCTTTCTCTGCTTTTTAATCTTGGTGTTGGTACCACTATTTGTACAATTAGCTAAGCCAGAAAGCTGGGGGCCATCTGATATTTCTTCCCCAGTTCCTGTCTGTAGGGCCCCTACGTCCAAGCAATTCAACCTTTACTTTTCACATCTGCTCCTTTCTCACCATTTACTGCTATTCCTTTAGTTTAGACCCTCCCGCACTTGCCACACTGACCTAGTAATGCTCTGTTGCTGTCACTGCTTCAAGCTCTCCAGGAACTCCCCATCCCTTCACTTGAATATGGACACTGAAGCCTAGTTCCAGCTACCTCTCCAGTCTCAGAGCATGCCGGTATCCTCACTACAATTCTAACTCACCGTGGATCACAGACCTCTGTATGTGTGTGTGTCGGGGAGGGGGGGGGGAGGGATGAGCTGGCAGTTATTGTAAGGATTTCATCAATATATGCATGAACAAAGATTGCTTTACAATGAAAAACTAGTAAGTCTTGCTCATACATGAGATAGTATTTCTTAAATGAAAATGTCAGATACTGTTGGGATTAAAATACACAAGTTCATTTAAAAGTATAGTATATATTTCTAAAATGTGAATGCCAGTAGAAGCTGTTGGGATTAATAAGACACAAGATGATTTAAAACTGTAATAAAATTCCCAATATGATTTTTTTGGAGGATGAGGGCATCATGTGCTTTTTTTCAAACAAGAGTTCCTAAAAGAACAATGACTATAATGTGGACATTACCAAGGAAGCCCCCGGCTCTCCTAAGGCCCACAACCTTGCCTCAGCATGACCAAATTACTAAATGACTTGCAATGTAGCTTCTGGGTTGCTGCAAAGGCACTCTCTGTTAGATTAACTGCTTGGGTAGTTGTAGGGCTTGCTCAGGTGTTGGATCCTTCTCCAGCCCCTGAGTTAGGAGCCCCACCTCTAGGCTCTCTTGTACCCAAACTTTACCTATAACTACCTCACCAAAATGTAGTGATTTACTTGCCCTCTTACTGGACCGTGAATTTGCTGCAGGAAGGGACCATATCTTTTGTACTTAAATTCTTGGTGCCTAACAAGATGCATGTCACAGAGTAGGAACAAAATATTTTCTGAACAAGTGAATGGATTTTTGAGGTGGTCCCCCACCCTGGTATTTCTCGTCTTGGGTTGAGTTTCTCCAGTTCTAAAGAGGCTCCCTGAGTGTCTTTACAGATTTAATTAACACAGTGATTTTCAGCCTTTTTCATCTCATAGCACACATAATATTTTGCTGCACACCAAAAAATATATTTTTTGCCGATCTGACAAAAAATATAGGTATAATTTTGATTCATGCACTGGATAGCTATTCTTGTGTTGGCTGTTGTCATTTTTTTATTTGACAATCTAAGGGAAAAGAGGTTAGTATCCCTGACTAAATAGTCAGGAATTGCATGTTTTAAAACTTCTTGCCTCACACCACTCTGTTGTGGCACACCAGTTGAAAACTGTTACAGTAACATACCAATTGCTCTGGATAAATCCTGAATTATCACTGATTCTCAGTCATTCACTAGATAATCCTATCCCAACCTGAAACAAGTTTCATTACTAGTGTTTTTCATCCTTAAAAAAAGATCTATAGGACCAACTCTTAGCTAAACCAACATGAATTAATTTTGTGAGGCTTTGAGTCCTCCTATGTCCTTATTTACAAAGTCCCTTCATTATAAAGATGGCCTATGTGCTTACCACCTTCATTCTATTTTTCCTGCTTACATTAAAAATATTTTCTTAATTCTGTTATCCAGTGACATCATATCATGCTAAATATTACAATGTTTCATTTTTATTCATTGAACAATTTGCAAATTTGTAAATATAATCAACTTAATGATAACAGTCACTGGTTACTGAGCACTATGTAAAAGGCACTACACCATGATTTACTTGGACTATTGCATTTAGTCCTTACAACTACCAACTGAGGCAGGTGTTAGCGTCCCTATAGTACAGATGAGGAGGTAAAAGCTTACCCGGTCTAAAACTCTCCTGTCACACAGCCAGTGAGTGGCAGGGCTAAGACTGCACTGCCCTTCACCATAGTCCTGTCTGTCCTTCCTTGTGATTGCTAAAGAGCCCCCTGAAGTACTTAGGGCAAGCACTATTATTATTATTATTGTAACTTTACTATTGAGATGAGGTAGGAGAGGTTAAGCAGTCT